TAGTTGAATTCCTCGTCAAACAGCTACGTGAGAAAACCGGTAAGCTGGGCTCACGAAAGTATACGAATAGTTTAAAACGACTTACCATAGGCAAATGTAGCAAGCTGCTAGCGTTAACAGGCATGGTTGGGAAGAGAGGTCCGACGACATCGCCGACGACAGATATCCTGGCCTTGTTGGACCCGAACACGTAGTACCTGTCCACCTCGTAGGGAATGATGGGAGTCTCGGTGACGTTGACGTGCATGTATTGGAACACGTACGCTCTGTTGGACAGGTCCAGCAGTACTGACTGGTGGCGGTACTGGGGGAGCCCGTCCGGCTGGAAGGGAATTGTTGTGGTAAGTATGATTGGATTATAATTAATATATTGTGTTTTTTAGTAGTGGGCTGGAGCTATGAATTTTGTCTTAATATCTGTTTGTTCTCCAGGGTCATTAAGTTTTGGATAATGTATCAAAGAGATTGTAAAACGTTTTTTTTAAAAGAAGTAACAAATGGAGTTTCTTCCTCGTTTTTCTCCATTCGAATCTACGTTTTAGAATAAGCACCAAGTTTCACTGACGACTGGCAGACTATTATTTATTTTGTATTTTTTGACGTTTCAAAAGTATCAAATTATGGTTTAACTGAAATAAACGCATTGACTTTGACTTAGCAAATGAAATTGGTAACAGATATCCATCCATCCAAAATTTTTGGACTGATGTTTGACATTAATCGTATTTAGTTTTTAAGATTGCATCACTAATCCATCTTCATCAATATCAGCGTTCCTGTTTTTTTTATATTAGACAGAGTTTGTATTTGGCCACTACCTCACCCGGTAAGCAATAATACTGCCTATGTTGGACCATATCTACCCATAAGCAAGTTAATCGCTCCGGTCTTGAAGACACCCAGATTATATCTTTCAGGAAACATATGAATGATGAAGAATGAGTACCTCGTTGGCCGAGTGGTCGCAACTGCGACTTTCAAGGAAGAGGAAGCTGCCAGGAAAGGGGTCTCGGGTTCGATTCCCGGGTTGGACGGAGTATTACTTTATTTTTAAAAAAGAAATCTCAATAGTAACAGTGGCATAAGTGCCGTAATGTGCACCTCTGCCTACCTCTTCGGGGAAAAAGGGAGTGATGTAATAGAATGAGGACGTAGTTACCAGGACGTGTATGTCCTTGACGTAGTGGTGCTGGCCCATGAGCGTGGCGGCGTGGAGCCGGACGCGCACGAGACCGAGGCGCGCGGCCACGACGGGCACGTGCACCGTGGCCGCGTCGCCCGCGCTGATGTACACGAAGAACTGGTGCTCGCCGAACGACGTGCGCGGGTTGTACGACCGGACCTGCCATAAAATATACACTTGAACATTTGCTTCACATGACAGACACACTTCACAGGACGAATGTATACACTGCTACAGTCTATATAGTCGTCCAACGAAGACGTCTAGACAGGGCAATCGTGGGGGGTGTGAGGGGCGAGACGCGGGTAGGCCGATTTCGAGCTGCGAACAAAACGATGTTAGCAACTCGGGATATATTATTCAGGACTAATGCGTGTTTGTTTTTACAGACTTCAAAAATAGAAGAAGGCACTATATCGAATGTTTTTCTTTTTTATGTAAGTTTGCCGTTGCATGAAATTTACAATTTATCGTCATGGGTGTCGTTTTCATGGTTCTCGAGGGTGGTAAAACCGATGGTGCTGTCAAAATGTAAATCCAAGATGGCGGCTGCACGAAATTTTTAATGAATCGTCATGGGTATCGTTGTCATGGTTTTCAATGGTGGCAAAACCGATGGTGCTGTCAAAATGTAAATTCAAGATGGGCGGCGGTTGCATGAAATTTTCAATTTATCGTCATGGGTGTCGTTTTAATGGTTTTTGGGTGGTGAAAATGATGGCGCTGCCAGAATCTAAATCTAAGATGGCGGCTGCACGAAATTTTAAATTTATCGTCATGGGTATCGTTTTAATGGTTTTCAAGGGTGGTGAAAATGATGGCGCTGTCAGAATCTAAATCTAAGATGGCGGCTGCACGAAATTTTAAATTTATCGTCATGGGTATCGTTTTAATGGTTTTCAAGGGTGGTGAAAATAATGGCGCTGTCAGAATCTAAATCTAAGATGGCGGCTGCACGAAATTCTCAATTTATCATCATGGGTATCGTTTTAATGGTTTTCGAGGGTGGTGAAAATGATGGCGCTGTCAGAATCTTAATCTAAGATGGCGGCTGCATGAAATTTTCGATTTATCGTCATGGGTGTCGTTTTCACGGTTTTCAAAGGTGGTAAAACTGATGGTGCTGACGAAATGTAACTCTTCAATACAGTAACTACCTTGTATTTGGGTTTGAATAACAAAAAACCTAAAAACTAAAACAAATAAAAAGTAAAAACTAAAAGCAAAAAATTACTATATTAGTACTGATGAGTTACTCACTGGCCGACTTCTAGTCGGTGCCATAAGCTCATATTTTTGACAACCCTGGCCGATGCGTTACTGTCTAGACGATGTTGGTATTTAACACCAGATCAAAGGCGTCGTCCTACTGTATGTTTTTTATATTGTGACATTAATGTGAGCCAACATTTTTTTCTGTATGAGTAAAACGAGTGCAAATTACCAAAATTTTGTTGTATTCACATACACTATTCATCATAATTACCTGTATTATACATAGTATAGGGCGCAATACAGAGTAAAACTATATGTCATTAAAGTCGAAAATGCTAATTGGAATTAATTACTAGTTTACGTATTTTGGAAATAAAAAAACTTTGAGTCGATAACACAATAAGTCTAAGTAAATGATGTGAAGGTAACACTCACAATGCCATTCTCCTCAACATGCACGAACTTGTAGTCAGGCGATGCGGAGAGTACGACGACGGCTTCAATATCCTGGGGCTGGTAGTTGAACACAACGACCCTGAGTCCCACCTGCTCCCCCTGGCGGCACTGGTCCGGTCCCTCCACCTTTATGAAGAACGGTAATACGCCTACATACTGTGGACAAAAATCAAAGCATTTATTATACAGAAAGAATTAAAATCTTCGAATGAAACTTTCATGATGAATCTGTCTATCCCCTAGTGAAAACAAAAAAAAAACTGTTTAGTGATTTTTGAGTTTATCGTGATTAGACAAACAATCGTGATAGAGGACTTTTTAGGCGTGAAAACATATGTTATTTAAATACATTACTTACTTGCTTAGGTTCAGTAAGCATGCCCAAACCGAGGCTGGGAGACATACTGAACGCCGACACTATCCAGTGTGCAGGTATCTGAAACATTTGCAAATGTTATACAAGAATGAAAATAAGAAAAGGGAAGATAATAATAATAACGTGTAGTAGTGTAATAATAGCTGATATTATGAACAGAAAGTTAACATTTAATACATAACGCCACGATTGTCGCGCGGCTACTGTAGCAGCGCGACAGTCGCCGCGTCGCATATCGCTTGAATATGAGCCTCTAGCATGGTTTGAGACCAGTCGAGTTCCTCGTCAAACAATTACGTGAGTAAGTTGAAAACATAATAATTAAATTAGTATGTCTCACGGAACTTTTAATAGAAAGTTAAGATTTTTGTACTATTTTCCAAATTAAATTTATAGAATAGAATAAGACAAGACTGCGGAAATCTATACCAAATTAATAATTTTGGAAAAATATTTAGGTATTCTTACATAGCGGAATTAAAACTAGATTTCTGAAGTATTCGTTTGGGTTTAATATGTGTATTTTAGAGGTTTTACGGCAAGTTACCTGTGGCACATCGACCGTGAAGACGTATCGTCCGTGCGGTCCAATGTTCACATCCCGCCAGAGCCACACGTTGTCATACTGTCGCTGCACGCGGTTGAAGCGGAACTTGCGGAAGTGAGTCAGCTCGAATGACTTGTGGAAGTCGTTCTCACCTGGGTAAGAGAAAAGAGAATCATATTGTGAAAGGAATTTAGGAAAAGAGTAAGTGATGATGATTAAGAGGGGAGAATAAGAAGAGGACATAGTCAGCTGAATTAGGTTAAATATAATTTTTACAAAGATTTTCAAAGAGTCTAGAAATTATTTCTTCAGGTCAACTACCTGTCTAGTCAAAATATTGCTTTGTTAGCCACGGATGTCACCCTAAAAAATGAGTTTTTATTATAGACCATGAAAGTAACATTTTACTGGCGACAATTTGTGAATTGGTAACTACGCTCTGTGTTATGTAAATAATTATAATAGAGTAATTTAAAAAGTATATGTACAATTAGCCTCGTCGGTATGGTCTGGACAGTCGTAGGCGCCGTCGCACCTCTTGTTGAGGGGGTAGCAGCCCCCCTCGAGACACTCCCCGTACCCCTGCGACGCGTTGCACGTGCTGTACCGACGCGTCACCGCCACGTCACTGAACACTAGCAGACCTGCGTACCTGCGGGGATAATACAATCAGTATTACCTTCATAGGGATTGGGAATAAATGCGAAACACAGTATCTTAAACTGTCAAACACCGCGAGGACACCGGTGACAACAACCTATTGTTTTATAATTGTGTCTATAATGACGGTACTCAAAGGGTTAATTAAATACGTAAATTATGATTGAGATATAGCTAGATATACTGATCTGACGAATTAAATGTTGCAAGGAAACTCTCCACAAGAATATCTGCTGGTCAACTGATGAAAAATTTAGTTGCTGTGCATTGGCAATTAGTTACAAATGCGACACGCTTTATGATTGAATTTTGTTCCAACATAATTAAAATCACGACTTACTTATGATAATAAAATTATGCATTACGAAATGGTTATATCATTTGTAATATCAATCAGTACAACTTTTAATTCTCTAT